GGAAATCGCACCCTGCAGTACAATGTACAATTTGACCTACCAACTTCCATAGCAGTATACAATGTACAAGGGAGGGCTTCACATCTAATGAATTGTCCATGTTCCCCCACATGACACTGACAGATCATGGTGACACACACACAGTGTACTTTTTCCTGTTTGACCCTGGTTTCAAGTTCTTAACCCAGTCCTGAATCACAATTCTATGTGGTTATTTACAGTGACCAAATGTGTGAAGAGGGAAAGTCAAGATGTGGGAAACGTGGATGCACTGAGGACAATGCATACAGTACAATGATTACAAACTACCATATTCGACGTAATAAGCGCCCAGGGCGCTCTCAAAATTAGAAATAGCGGGCTCTTATTAGAAATTTATTTTGGTGAGTTGAAAGATAAATTTCGTGGTTTATGCTGACAGCCTGAAATGTTTATATATGACAGATATATTTTCCCAGAATTTAATTGCCCATAATTAAGGGTGCATATAACACATGAGTGCGTATTATATGCGAATAAATAAGTCTTTTGTACATTGATCAATCGAAAGGGGTGCTAATTGGGATTGTTCACGAGCCAATATATAAGCAAATATCGCTTATAAAGTCGAATAGGGTAGTACAAGACATTTAGGCCTCGCTTCTTTAATTTAATGTTTCGTGGATTTATTCCAGCTTTTCCACACAAGGTCGGTTGAAATAGAAATGAATTTCTATCTATCTATCTTATGATTTGGGAGATTCAGTCCATGCAGACAGTAAACTTTAGTAAGAGGTGATTTTGATTTCAATGTCCAGGTAATAGATACTTATAGATGGCTAGAAACACCACACAGTCTTTCTATCTGTTTTCTAGCCGTTAGAGTGTCTGCCCAGAGAGCAGAAGGTCGGTTCGTCAATCCCCTGCTCCGTCATACCAAAAGATGTAAAAGATGGTCCTTGCTTAGCATTAAGGGGATGCAGTAAGCTTGAACAGGATGTTTCACCTCACCTCAGTAGTGTAAGATTCAAGGCATTGGGGGCCAAGGCTGGTGATTTGTGGCACATTTAAAAAAAACTGTTCAGTAAACTATGGTTATAAGGAACTCAAAGCCACCACTAATGTTAGTTCTTAATAACCGTAGTTCATAACCGTATCATTGCACTTTTTAAGTGTTAGATTCAAGAAAACCAACCATTGACACTCAGACCTTTGAGTATCTTTCTTATCAGAATAGAGTGAGTGAGTGAGTTGGGTTTAACGCCACTTTTAACAGTATTCCAGTTTTATCACGGCGTGTCTGCTTAATGTGGGAGGAAAGCCCGAAGTGATGCAGGTCTCAGACGTTTACCACTTCGGTGAAACCCACGAGCAGGGGTATGGTGCTGACAAACCTAGAAACATAATTGGGGCGAACCGGGATTCGAACCCACAATCATAGGTTTCTGGCGTGCCCAAGGGACACAACTCTGCACAGCGAATCGCGGCGCTTTAGACGACTGGGCCACCCGTGCCCCCTTATCAGAAGAGAAATGTCAGTGATATGTAACATTCCAGCTATATGATGGCTGTCTGTTAATGATTGAGTCTGGAGCAGACAGCCGAGTGAATTATTATTTTTTTTATTTTTTTTTTGAATCTATTTCTTGACTCTTCAGTAGGGGTGGTGGGCCTGTGAAATGAAAAATAAAATAAATGTCTGGCCTAATCTGTGTTATTGGCCATTTGTCTGATTTAAATACCCTATATAGTATGTGTAAAACGTGTTTGATTGTACAAGTTCTATTGATATATCATAATGTCACTCAGCATATGATACACACACGGAAGAATGTATAGCTCATGTTTGGTTTTATATTTAAATAACAAGGAAATTGAAGTATTTGTATCTAATACAAGTGTGTGGGAGTAATGAACTTCATGTTTTTATCAGCTGTGTGGTCACTGATTAGGAAGTCTCTCAGTTGTCATCTTCCTGAGTCAAGGGAGTTTACTGACTAAAAATCCAGTTTCCACTGTTGCCGAACCAGGCTGGAATTTCAGAGCTCGATCGTATCGCCAACGGTGGTTATTACGAGTTATGTCCTTTCTGTGACGCTCCTATTGACCAATAGGTCGCTTGCATTTGGTTCAAACAAAATGGTGACGCCCAGTCAAGACAATCTGATCGATGATCAAGATATATATTGTGACAAAATGTGTCTTGCCTCGTGAAGTGCATCAAATCACGTGAGCATCTTAAATAAAAACATGAAAATATTTGAACAATATCTGTCGACACCCCTGTCGACGTCCTTTGTAAAATCCTGCAGTCGACCGAAACTGCATGTTGAAATCCATGTTGTTTACGAACCGGATGTTGATTTCGTTATGCAGTTTTGATTGGACTTTGCATAGACTTGTTAGACTGAGGCCTTTAATAACTACATTATTCCAGCCTAGTTCGGCAAGGGTGGTAACTGGACTTTTACAATCAGTTAACTCCCTTGCGTTGGGAAGATGCTCATATCTGCAGTTTACCCAAGCACATATATCAACTGATAATAACACCTGTCACAGTGGTTTTTATCAAAATACTACATGCAAGGACATATACATGTAGATTTGTGCAAGTCAGATATTCATGTCCAAAAGAGTATTTAAAGGCAACATTATTACAGCAGAAATATTTTTAAAATCTATTCATTTATCGAACGTTACCTGTCCTTTAATTAGATTTAAGCCTGATTTAGCCAGATTTAATTAGGGAGTATTGCCATGGGCTGCCATGCGATAACGGAATGATCGTCCCATAAAATTCCTAATTAGGGTCATAAATTAAAAGACCGCCTCCGTGGTCTAGTGGTAGAGCATCCGCCCGGAGAGCGGAAGGTCAGGAGTTCGATCCCCGGCCGCGTCATACCAAAAGACGTTAAAAGATGGTACTTGTTGTTACCCTGTCTGGCGCTCGGCATTAAGGGGCTTAAACAAGGACTGGTCGGCTCTGAGTCAGTATACTGTGTCTGAGTGGGGTATTCATGTTAAACTGCGGCATGGTATCTCAGTGTGCTAGCACTATAAATTGGCATCAGTCCGCACTAGTACAAGCAGCCACACAAACACACACACGTACATGCATGTCGCTATATAAGTGCAATAATCTTGGACGCGACAGATTAAACACAGTTTTACTGCAGTACACGATAACAAAGTTTTCTGTTTTGTGTAATTATACCCTGAAATGGCAATACACTCTGCAGCCAGATTATGTCTCAACATAAACTAAGTTCAAGATGAAGTTCTGAAGTAATGATACATGATTCTTCATAATGCAATAATTCAAAATGTAAAATGATGTGTTTAATGAAACACAGTTACTTTCACATTGGGGTATTCAGTCTTGTAGAACGGAGTATCGGAAGGAATGGTCACGATTCACCAGTACATCGGTGCATCGCAAATATTGTTAGTCTTTACTATAGGGGATACACCCTCATCTGTATCGATTCATATTTTAATCTTGTATCGTTTCACACATTTAGAACAGCATGACATTCACTGAAATACAGTGACAAAGGTGCATTTGAATTGCGTATTGTTCTGGCAACTTTATTTGGGCAAGTCTATTTTAAGCATTTTTAACATGATTATGCCCTATGAAATGTAACTAATGTCATGAAACTGCCTCAAATGAAATAACATGATACGCAATGTGCTGTTGACATGGTATCAGGATATTTATCTTATCAGGAGATGGTCGTATCGTATTGGGAGATGGTTGAATCTTGACATCCCTAGGTATTAGGGTTGTAGGGTATTAAGGTTGTAGGGTTTTTTAGGGTTGTGGTAAGATTTTAAGTTTTATGTACATTTCACTGTTGACAGGCGACATGTCATGTAGGTGAGGCCATTCACCAGGTTCACGGCATGTCGATAACAGTTTCACTTTCCATGTATATATTATACCTGTTGATACCATGCCTTGATTTGCTCAGGTAATTAATGATAATCGTGAAAAATTATCTGTATCAATACATGAATGAAGGAAGGACTGAACATGATGTGTTATCCCGATTATACTTCAATGACGTTTACCACACAGTTTGATATGTGAGTCAGCTATCAAATCAGAGTCTTTTTCCTGTTTCACTCAGGTAGTTACATTCGCCATTCATACGTGTACATGGACTCAGTTTAGTCATTGTGTCATTGTGTCGTTGAAGAAAGAATAACCCACTGAGATTATCACTTAGAAAACTATCACATTCAAGAGCTGTTCTGATGTACTTCATAGGTGAGGAGTGATGTTTGGTTGGTTGTTGGTTGGTTGGTTTGTTGTTTAACGCCGCACTCAGCAATATTCCAGCTATATGACGGCGGTCTGTAAATAATCGAGTCTTGACCAGACAATCCAGTGATTGATATCATGAGCATCAATCCTGTTAGTCGCCTCTTACGACAAGCATAGTCACCTTTTACGGCAAGCATGGGTTGCTGAAGACCTATTCTACCTCGGAATCTTCACGGGTCTGATGTACATATTGTTTCGTATTGCTTCAGCTGACCAATCGTGGGTGGTGGAGTCATTAGCCCACTGCCTCATGGTCAACACGTTCGCTTGTCATGTCGAGGGGTGAGTGAGTGAGTGAGTTCAGTTTTATGCCGCTTTTAGCAATATTCCAGCAATATCACAATGGGGGGATACCAGAAAATGGGCTTCACACATTGTACCCATGTGGGGAATCGAACCCTGGTCTTCGACATGACGAGTGAACACTTTAACCACTAAGCTACCCAACCGCCCTGTCATGACGATGGGTACAATGAGTGAAGCCCATTTTCTGGTATCCCCCCCCGTGGTGATATTGCTGGAGTATTGCTAAAAGAGGCGTAAAATCACAACCGTTCAACTGACCCAACAGCTTTAGGATCTGCTAAAATGTACATGTGAAATCATCATAAAGTATTTGGCTGAAAGGTTTAACCTTCTTATATTATTCAATGCGTAACATCTTCACTTACCCAATTTTGGTCAATTTCAGGTGTATGACAAGATGGATAACGTGATCAAACAGGGATATCTACGGAAGGCCTTCTCGTCAGAGAGGGGACTCTCCAACCTGCTTGATGTAAGTCTCCCAAAGAATATGTTCAGTTGTTATAATCAGGGCCCTCAGCCCTGTTCCACAAAGCGATCTTTGCACTAAGATGATCATCACTCCCATAGTTTAACATTGACTTATGATAGTCATAGCGCTAAAACCTTTTGGGAAACGGATCCCAGTCTATTATTGAAGATCTTTGTGAAGCAGAAGCGAGCATATAAGATCTGGTTTTACTGAGATTGTTCTGATAAATAGTGAGTGAGTGAGTGAGTTGGGTTTAACGCCGCTTTTAACAGTATTCCAGTTATATCGCGGCCTGATAAATAGTGACCACACTTACGGTAATATATAACTCATGGGATGTCCGTTTGACTTATTTCAAATTTGGGATTGACATCAAAATTGTAATTTCATGAGGAACAAAGATAATTCATGAAAAGTAATCCTGAAGATCCAAAAAGTCTAAAATGTTTCTGGGACCCAGTCCCATCTGACAACATATTTCAATCCGTTTCCATTTCCACTTTCATTCATTTTACCATGACCTGGGGCAACTTGTGGTACTGCTTGTGTCATGACTTTGACAAACCCAGGAATTTATCATGTTTAAGACTCTGATTATTGTACAAAAACTACATGAACATTTAGGGGATTACGTATGTTGTGTGCTTGTATGTTTTACATTTTTCTATTCACAGAAAATTGACCCCAACAAGTGGTTTGTTTTTCTTGTGCGGCAGGGAAAGCCGATCTTGGAATATTATGATAAGGAGACTGATGTTTTCTCTGCGGAACCAATCAACACATTTGACCTCTCAACCTGTAAGCAAGTGACCTTCACCTTTCTGCGCAATGCTCGGATTCACACTTTCAACATCATACTTGGTGACAGGGTCATTGAACTTGCTACAACCTCCAGGTAATTATAGCAACAACCTCCAGGTAATTATAGCTACAACCTCCAGGTAATTATAGCTACAACCTCCTGGTAATTATAGCTACAACCTCCAGGTAATTATAGCTACAACCTCCTGGTAATTATAGCTACAACCTCCAGGTAATTATAGCTACAACCTCCAGGTAATTATAGCTACAACCTCCAGGTAATTATAGCTACAACCTCCTGGTAATTATAGCTACAACCTCCAGGTAATTATAGCTACAACCTCCAGGTAATTATAGCTACAACCTCCAGGTAATTATAGCTACAACCTCCAGGTAATTATACAGAAACAATTCAATAACACACAAGACAAGTATCGTGTACAAAGCGACTTACGGGATTGGGTCGCAGGCTCACTGACTTGGGTGATGCATGTCATCGTATCCCAATTGTGTAGATCGATGCTCATGATGTCAATCACTGGATTGTCTGATTATTTACAGGCCGCTATCATATAGCTGGAATATTTCTCTGAGTGTGGCGTTAAACAACAAACAAACAAAGATGAACAAACTGACCTCTGACAATCCATGACTAGAGGCGACAACGGATCAGGTTGTCAGATGCAATGACTTCTGTTAAAAAAAACAACTGCGTGTCATCATACCGCCACAGGATTTATCATTAAGGGACTGATAATATTAATCAGTGAATTGTCCAAACTTGATTATTGACAGGCGGCTGTCACATTGCTTGAATGTTGCAGAGTGCGGCATTAAACAAACAAACAAACAGTGGTTGTCAGTGAAAGTTTCTGCCACTTCTCATAATAACATACCGTATTCAACGTAATAAGCGCCCCGCTCTAATAAGCGCCCACAGCAATATTTGCTAATATATTGGCTAGTGAACAATCCCAATTAGCACCCCTTCAGATTGATCAGTATACACAAGACTTATTTATTCGTGTGTATAATACGTGTGTTGTATGCATCTTTAATTATGTGAAATTAAATTCTGGAAAAATATATCTGTCGTATGTAAACAATTCAGGCTGTCAGAATGAACCACGCAATTTACGATCTTTCAACTCTGTTGTTTTTCTCCAAAATAGTATTCTAATAAGAGCCCCCTATTTCTAGTTTTGAGAGCGCCTTGGGCGCTTATTATGTCGAATACGGTATGTCACATTTTTGTAGTATGTTTTGTTGTGATGAAATATGTGCCCTGGTCATGATTGTCAGGACATTTGTTTTGAACAATAGTGTAGCTGCAGTCTGGAACATGTAGTGATCTTCCCTGGTCACATCATGGTAGAGTTTAATTGTTACACGTTATCATGATTTCGATTATCTCATCCTGATTAGTGTTCTCAGGTCACATGATCATGGTCGAGATTGTCAGTATTTTCCTTACTTCCTGTCCTAGAAATAATGTCCCTATGATGTTATGATGTATGTTTAAAAAAAATATTGTTTGCCTTTGAATAAGACTCTTTTATCATATCACATCCTTAACATTTATAAAGAAACATTATATTTCCTTGTTTTCGGCTGATATTGTCATCACCATCAGGGTCATGGGTAATTTGTTCATGCATCCATCCGTCCATCAATTTATCCGACTATCCTTCCTTCCATCTATGACCGCCTCTGTAGTCTAGTGGTAGGGCATCATCATCCATTCACCCATCCATTAATGATCATTCAAGTTCTTCTTAAGCTTTCTCCTGAACTACAGAAAACCTGAATGTTGCATCCTATAACATTTGCTGTTCAGACATTTCTTTTCAGTATTCATGGTGTCCATGGAAACAAATTTGCTATCCTTTGATGTGGGGATGTTTGTAATCTGCATCAGATCTAAACAAGAAGGCTATTTGTGGGGATGTTTGTAATCTGCATCAAATCTAAACAAGTAGGCTATTTGTGGGGATGTTTGTAATCTGCATCAGATCTAAACAAGAAGGCTATTTGTAGGGATATTTGTAATCTGCATCAGATCTCAACAAGAGGCCTATTTGTGGGGATGTTTGTAATCTGCATCAGATCTAAACAAGAAGGCTATTTGTGGGGATGTTTGTAATCAGCATCAGATCTAAACAAGAAGGCTATTTGTGGGGATGTTTGTAATCTAGCTACATCAGATCTAAGCAAGAAGGCTATTTGTGGGGATGTTTGTAATCTGCATCAGATCTAAACAAGAAGGCTACTTGTGGGGATGTTTGTAATCTGCAGCAGATCTAAACAAGAAAGCTATTTGCAATGATTTGTGGGGATGTTTGTAATCTGCATCAGATCTAAACAAGAAGGCTATTTGTGGGGATGTTTGTAATCTGCATCAGATCTAAACAAGAAGGCTATTTGTGGGGATGTTTGTAATCTGCATCAGATCTAAACAAGAAGGCTATTTGTGGGGATGTTTGTAATCTGCATCAGATCTAAACAAGAAGGCTATTTGTGGGGATGTTTGTAATCTGCATCAGATCTAAACAAGAAGGCTACTTGTGGGGATGTTTGTAATCTGCATCAGATCTAAACAAGAAGGCTATTTGTGGGGATGTTTGTAATCTGCATCAGATCTAAACAAGAAGGCTATTTGCGGGGATGTTTGTAATCTGCAGCAGATCTAAACAAGGAAGCTAATTTTCTATCTCTGTTGCAGGGAGATGATGATATCGTGGTGTGACTGTCTGGAAAGTACACTACAACGACTTGGAATTCTGAGGGTATGGTATCTTCTCTTATTAATGCTGTAATACATGTATGATAGATTTGATTACCCTTATAGTCTCCGTAGGGATTTCCGTGCAGAATAGGACCCATCACCACATGTGTCTTGTATACTACCATGCTTGTCATCCACCAGTTAATCTGTGTGACTTGGATGAATGTGAGTTGCTAGCCCCAACGGCGTGAATTCTTCCTCAAACAGTCAGCCTCTGGTTTGACTGACCAAGACTTAATTTTTTACAGGCCACCATAATATAGCTGGCTACTGATGGCACAAAACAACATGCATTCATTCACTTATAATCCCATCATAGTGTCATTTGTTCATCACAATGTTTATCTTGTACTTGTTTATAGCCATAAATACCCCATCAGGATCATACTTGTTTATAGCCATAAATACCCCATCAGGATCATACTTGTTTATAGCTATAAATACCCCATCAGGATCATACTCGTTTATAGCTATAAATACCCCATAGGATCATACTTGTTTATGGCTACACATACCCCATAGGATCATACTTGTTTATGGCTATAAATACCCCATCAGGATCATACTTGTTTATGGCTATAAATACCCCATCAGGATCATACTTGTTTATGGCTATAAATACCCCATTGGGATTCCAGGTAACAATATGTCTCATATATAGGCCCTGGTCTAAGTGACAAAATGGTCGGGTGGTCAGATGGTGGTCTTACTCTGACGACTTGGATCATTACTCCAATCACTGGTTTGTCTGGTCCAGACTTGATTTATATGCAGACCGCATATTGCGTCCTATTGCTGGAATATTGACGAGTGTGATGTTATAAAGAAATAAAACATATTTTTCAATTACAGTTACCAATATTTAATGCTTTCTAATTAAAACATGTCCCATTTTCATGGCCATTTTGTGTTGAAGACTGGGACTTCCCTCATAATGTCAATCACTGGTTTGTCTGGTCCTGTCTCCATTATTTACTTCTGTTGACTTCTGTTGCATTATTAATATAGTGCTGCGTTTGACAACAAACGAACAACGATCAAACGAAATATGTACAAATGCACAAGTAAAATTTCTTGTCCCTTTCCTATAAAGCTGGTTTATGTCTTTGAGTGTTTTGTGAACATATGTGTGCTGACGATTAGGTGCCTCACTCTGGCAGTGTGGGTTCGAATCCCGGATGGGATTCAACCCCAAAAAGTACGAGAATCTGTACTTTGCTGAGAAAGTGTTATCCCAAATAGAGTGAGTGAGTGAGTGAGTTGTGTTTAACGCCGTTTTTAACAGTACTCCAGTTATATCACGGCGTGTCAGCTTAATGTGGGAGGAAAGCCCGAAGTGATGCAGGTCTCAGACGTTTACCACTTCGGTGAAACCAACGAGCAGGGGTATGGTGCTGACAAACCTAGAAACATAATTGGGGCGAACCAGGATTCGAACCCACAATCATAGGTTTCTGGCGTGCCCAAGGGACGCAACTCTGTACAGCGAATCGCGGCGCCTTAGACGATTGGGCCACCCGTGCCCCTATCCCAAATAGAACATCTGTTACATTGCGACTACTTTGTAAATAGCATTGTGTGTTCATGGCATAGCTAGGTCCACTAATTTAGTAGGTTCCGTTCACACTTTTCATGAAAACAGCACTCTGACATACTCTCCCTATTCTTTCAGAAAGAAGATCATGAGCATGTTTACTCGTTCTGTCCGGCTGTGGTCAACAAGATTGGACATGCAAACAAAGATGAGCAGGAGGAGGATTCAAAAGAAGAGGAAGGGGCAACAGCAAACTATTCTGTACCTGACGAAGACATTTTCGGGACAGTTAGAGCAATGCAACAGGTGGAAGAAACGGAAAAAGAAAAGACAGAGAGAGACTTTACTGACGAACTCATTCGTAAAGTTAGCAATGCTAGTCTTGCTAGTGAAGAAGACACATCTGACTATTCCGGGGACTTCGTTGGCAGGGAATTCTTCCAAAAGCATCGGATTACATTGAAAGAAAAGAAAGGAGATTCTTTGGGGAGGTCAGTTGTGGTTAAATCGGACAAGATGGCTGTGGCAAACATTCAAAATCAACCTAAGACTGTGGAGGATTCAAATAACAATACCAATAGTTTTGGCAGTGAGGGCAAATGTATAGATGATTTGGATGATGGGTATTCAGAACTTACAAACTGGCTTGTGAAAGATTCAAAATTTGGGGAAGTTGGACAAAATGGAATGGATGTCTACAAAAATGTGTCACCTCCAAATCAAAAGACCACCGTTTTATCACATATCAAAAATCAGGGTTCACTCTCAGATGGTATATCAAAGGAAAAGCTTGTTGTGGACTTACCTAAGGAAGCCTCTTGTAGCAATGACTCTGGTTGTCGACATTCGGGAGGGGATGCATTTTCTGCAGCTGCTGCTCAAGATTCAGGATTAAGAGGTGGTGGTGCTCGTAATTCTGATCTTGTCTCAAATACAAACCAACGATCTGAAAATCTCTATAGTGCTTTCCCTGGTGCTGAAGAACCGGAGTTTTCTGAAACATTCACATCACCTGCTGAAACTTCTTTAAAAAGTGTTGATCCTCTTCCCAGGTGTGTTGCTCCAAGTAATAAACCAATACCAAGGAGACGCACACATGTTCCCCATTCTAAAAGTGTTGATCATGGAAGCACAAAATTGTTTAAGAACTGGGAGACTTTTGAATCAGATGTCCCTCCACCCATATGCTCAGTTCCCCCTTCCCAACGAGCTCCTGCAGCAAAAGACCTAGTGAGCAATGGCACAGCCTGCATCCCACCATTGCCACCAAGATTTGACTCTTTGCCCTCATGGTGTTCCGAGTCCACTGATGACACCATGGTCAAACACATCCAGGACCGCCCAATGCCCAGAGTTCCATCTCCAGTCTTTAGCCACATGACCCAGTCTTACACAGGACCTTCAAGCCAGGATGTTCCCCCAATTCCACCAAGACGGGATTCCCGGGGAGGCAGGGCAGCGAGCACATCAGACATTCCTCCACCCCTCCCGGCAAGAAGAAGTCAGAGCTTTCGAATCCAACGACCAATAACATCTCCTCCTAACTTGAGTGGGGATGGGACATTTTCGGATCATCCACCACCAACACCACAAGACATCGATGATGCTGTTGTCCGGAGGCCAGATCGCCAGTTGTCAATAAGGATGAGGATGGCGAGGGGACAGAGTGCTCATACTGTGATATCACTGAAACACAATCAGATAGACATTCTTCAAGGGGAGATGTTTTCTGCTGGTGTTGCTCTGGAGCTTACTCCAAAGTCTTGTCAGGGGATTGCCTTGGTGGATATCAACAAGAAGGTTTGGTGAGTTATATTTCGTGATCCATATATTGACAAGGTCCTGTCAAGGGATTGTACTGGTGGATGTCCACAGGAAAGTTTGGTGGTAAATTTATGTGTTTTTTCTCAATCCACAAAGTCTTGTTAAGGGACTCATCAGTGAGGAATGGTGAGTAGTTACAATGTGACACATTTTGCTGTCTGCTTTAAAACACTTCCGATTCCCTAGACATTTTGTTATGTGTCATCAAACATTATTAAATTATTAGCAGAGATTTCTAATGTGGATTTTGTTGCTTTTTATTATTTTGATATGGGTTCTGCCAGTAGAGCAGGACATGCATACCAGTTTCACAAACAACCATTGTCATCAGTGTCTGGTACTTATGGAGGGCGGTTGGGTAGCCTAGTGGTTAAAGCGTTCGCTCGTCACGCCGAAGACCCGGGTTCGATTGCTGACATGGGTACAATGTGTGAAGCCCGCTACTGGTGTCCCCCACCGTGATATTGCTGGAATATTGCAAAAGAGGCGTAAAACCTCACTCACTCACTGTTACTTATGGTTCAGTGATATTTCAGTGAGAATCCTTGAATTTCTTTGTTCCATTTAGTGAATATCCCCAAAACCTTAACATGATTACCATGGTTCAAAATAAGAATTTTAACAAAAATATTTCTTTTAAATGGTTCTGGGAAATGGTTTTAGGATTGGAGGCTGGAATTGGAAGGACTTCCCGCGCCTCCACAGCAAGTTCCATGTTGGTGACGAGATACTGAGCATCAACAGCCAACCTGTGGAAAACGCCCATATGGCCATGAAGACCTTGAAGCATGCATCGAAACAGATGGAGGTCGTGGTCCGCCGCATCCCCAATGCCAGAGTTTTCGAGATCAGGAGGTCAGCGGAGGGCCAGAGTCTTGGCATCAGAAGAGAAGGAGGAACGGGCGAGGTATGAAGGGAACTTTTTTTTGCAGGAAACATGGGAATTTCTGAAAACATGGGAATTTCTGAAAACATGGGAATTTTAGAGTTCATTATTTTGACTGTATCTGACTGGAAATGAATCTAGGATTCAAATCAATAGCAAAAGAATCCTGGTTGGTATGCATGAGGGATGCAATGCCTCCGAAATATGGATTTCATGATGGCATTGTTGCTTTAAACAGTATTCCAGTTCAATTCCTTCGTGTCAGAAACTTTGGAACGCAACATGCTGACACTTTCTTCATTGCCGAAGTGTCTTGGATAATGTTATGTACTCTCTCCTGGGAAATGCCTACTGAACTAGCAATTTGACGCTCAGTCATTCGCTGGTCCGTCATCATGATAATGCGTTTTCTTATGATCATTTCTGATGCTGCTGACGTCTCAGGCCTTCTAGGAAGGGGGCCATATTCAAGGCTCTCCCTGCCACGCTTAAACTATGAGGCCCACATTCTTTGTGTGGCATAGGATGGGGCATCCTTTCCTAGTGTTGTTATCATATTTTTTTAAAAGCCCTTTTTCTGGAAATGTTTGATCAATACACGTTCCTTATGTTTGTCCATTTTTCCAAAGGTGTCAGACACCTGCTGATTTCTGACTCGTCAGAGCCAAACAGTTTGCTCAAATGACTCAATTTTTGTGTGGAGATACCTCTATGACATCATGTAAAGTTCACAGTATGCAATTTCACTAGTATGCAGGGGGCATGGGTGGCCCAGTCATCTAAGGCGCCGCGATTCGCTGTGCAGAGTTACGTCCCTTGGGCATGCCAGAATTGTGTGTTCGAATCTCGGTTCGCCCTGATTATGTTTCTAGGTTTGTCAGCACCATACCCATGCTTGTGGATTTCACCGAAGAGACCAGCATCACTTCAGGCTTTCCTCCCACATTAAGCTGACAAGTTGCGATATAACCGGAATACTGTTAAAAGCGGCGTTAAACCCAACTCACTCACTCACTCACTCACTCACTAGTATGCAGTTCCTTCTATGAGTGAGTGAGTTAGGTTATAACACCACTTTGGACAGTATTCCAGTTATATCATGGCTGGATCACATAATGTGGGAGGTCTCAGGCGTTAACCACTTTGGTATAACCCACGGCCATTGGTATGGGGCTAACAACCCTCGAAACATCACGGGGATTCAAACCAAGATTTGAATCCACAATCATAGGTTTCATAGGTGCCCAAAGGATGCAACTCTGCACAGCAAATTGCAGCGCCTTAGACTGGCCACCTGTGTCCCCCAAGATGCAAGTTCCCATAGTCTGCCCAAATATCAGAAACTTGCAGAATACAGATGTGATGTATCTGACTGCATCATGTATCCAAGATGAAATTTGAAAACAGTTTTAGAAAAGGATTTTCAGTTGTTAATTTTGGTGTTTGTGTTTCAGATTCTGTATGTTGACCCAAATGGTCTGGCAGCAAAACATGGCCTACTGTCCAAGGGGGAGTGTGTGCTGAACCCAGGTCACCTCTGTTCCTGGTACATCACCGAGATCAACAGCAGACCTGTCAGCCTCTATTTCAAGGATCTTGAGGTGTGTTACTGTTGTATGGTCCCCAGGGAGCTGAGAATGGAAATTGAATACACACTGATGTTTTGACCAGAATAACTATTTCGTATTCTTTAATGTAGATGATTCAGAGTGTGTCCTCTCATTGTGATATCCTTGTTTCAGATTGAAATCTTGTGATATCCTTGTTTCAGATTTAAACCTTGTTGTATATCCATCTTTCAAATTGAAACCTCACTGTGATATCCTTGTTTTAGAACGTAACCTTTCACTAATATACTTGTTTCAGAGTGCAACTTTGTTTAGATATCCTTGTTTCAAATTAAAACCTTGTGATGTCCTTGTTTCAGTTTGAAACCTTGCTGTGATATCCTTGTTTAAGATTGAAATCTTGTGATATCTTTGTTTCAAATTGAAAACTCACTGTGATATCCTCGTTTCAGATTGAACCTCACTGTGATATCCTTGTTTCAGATTGTACCTCATTGTGATATCCTTGTTTCAGATTGTACCTCATTGTGATATCCTTGTTTCAGATTGTACCTCATTGTGATATCCTTGTTTCAGATTGTACCTCATTGTGATATCCTTGTTTAAGATTGAAATCTTGTGATATCTTTGTTTCAAATTGAAAACTCACTGTGATATCCTCGTTTCAGATTGAACCTCACTGTGATATCCTTGTTTCAGATTGTACCTCATTGTGATATCCTTGTTTCAGATTGTACCTCATTGTGATATCCTTGTTTAAGATTGAAATCTTGTGATATCTTTGTTTCAAATTGAAAACTCACTGTGATATCCTCGTTTCAGATTGAACCTCACTGTGATATCCTCGTTTCAGATTGAACATCACTGTGATATCTTTGTTTCAGATTGAACCTCACTTTGATATCTTTGTTTCAGATTGAACCTCACTGTGATATCCTTGTTTCAGATTGAACATCACTGTGATATCTTTGTTTCAGATTGAACATCATTGTGATATCCTTGTTTCAAAATGAACCTCACTGTGATATCCTTGTTTCAGATTGAACATCACTGTGATATCTTTGTTTCAGATTGAACATCACTGTGATATCCTTATTTCAGATTGTACCTCACTGTGATATCCTTGTTTCAGATTGTACCTCATTGTGATATCCTCGTTTCAGATTCAACATTACTGTGATATCTTTGTTTCAGATTGAACATCACTGTGATATCTTTGTTTCAGATTGAACCTCACTGTGATATCTTTGTTTCAGATTGAACATCACTGTGATATCCTCGTTTCAGATTGAACATCACTGTGATATCCTTATTTCAGATTGAACCTCACTGTGATATCCTTCTTTCAGATTGTACCTCATTGTGATATCCTCGTTTCAGATTGAACCTCACTGTGATATCCTTATTTCAGATTGAACCTCACTGTGATATCCTTATTTCAGATTGAACCTCATTTTGATATCTTTGTTTCATATTGAACCTCACTGTGATATCCTTGTTTCAGATTGAACATCACTGTGATATCCTTATTTCAGATTGAACCTAACTGTGATATCCTTGTTTCAGATTGTACCTCATTGTGATATCCTCGTTTCAGATTGAACATCACTGTGATATCCTTATTTCAGATTGAACCTCACTGTGATATCCTCATTTCAGATTGAACCTCATTTTGATATCTTTGTTTCAGATTGAACCTCACTGTGATATCCTTGTTTCAGATTGAACCTCATTGTGATATCCTCATTTCAGACTGAACCTCACTGTGATATCCTTGTTTCAGATTGAACCTCACTGTGATATCCTTGTTTCAGATTGAGCACAGACTGAATGCCGTTGGCCTTGAGATATCATTTGTGGTCCAGCCATCAGACTATATCACTGAGATAAAGAAACAGATAAAGAAGATGAAGAACTACAAGAGCTACATCCCACAGTGATCAGTCTTGAAAGCTTCGCAGGAATTTATGCATTCATTTGCTTGTGATATACGTGTAGCTGTTTAATCCTATGTGCTTTCAAAATGTTTAAGCTTGTTATTATTGTCTATTTATTTGACCCAAAGTCTTCATTAGCTTCAACATAGAAACAGATTCTTTCTGACAGCGCTATCTGATCCCACTACTCATCTGTCAGATGTGGGGGCACGGGTGGCCAAGTTGTCTGAGGCGCCGCGATTAGCTGTGCAGAGTTGCGTCCCCTGGGCATGCCAGAAAGCTATGATTGTGGGTACGAATCCCAGTTCGCCCTGATTATGTTTCTAGGTTTGTCAGCACCATACCCCTGCTCGTGGGTTTCACCGAAGTGGTAAACGTCTGAGACCTGCATCACTTCGGCCTTTCCTCCCACATTAAGCTGACACGCCGCGATATAACTGGAATACTGTTAAAAGTGGCGTTAAACCCAACTCACTCACTCTGTCAGATGTGTTTATCATTTTAGAATTTTTTTCTCCCAGAATTGATTTGCCAAACTGTGTGGAAACAAGTTTGGTTGGACTACAGATCAGCATGTCATATTCTTAGACAGTGACGGAATTAAATATAGAGAATCAGACTGACCCAATCTCATGAAAATCAGATCTTAGTTCTCACTACCGCTAAACAAAGATCAGGGGACATCCCATTAGTGGTCACGCCAGAACGACCTATTATCCGACCAATCAGAGCGTCGCCTACCAGATCATGAAAGTGACAGTTGGAATGTGATTTCTAATCATGCAACCTCGAAAACTTTAACACGGGGTATTCCGAAAGATAGTTATGGGCTAAATTCCTGAATCCATACAATCTAGACCATCTATTAGCCATTCCAGAATGTTCTTTCGTTCAGGTTTCAAATTTGTAGTCGAGGATTTGTCAAAATATGTTTCGAAGTGTAGTCGTCAATTTGAAATTAGTGTTGTAAAGCACAAGAAAGCTGCCTTCTGATTGGCTAATGTCAATTTCTTGTCAGTCATTCTATTTTCAATCAAAGATAGCACAAGGTCGGTCTGACGTGACCCATAATGGGGTGATCCCAGCAGTAGCGAGAACTAAGATCCGATTTTAATGATATTGCAGACTGACCATTTGATATTCAGCAGTGAGGGCAGGGTTGTTGTTTTTTTCCAAAAATATAATTTGTTCCAGAATTTGCTGAAAAATAATTTGGCCTCTGGCTTTTCAAAAAGGACAGGAAATTATTCATTGGGTACGCTTGTTGTTAACTGGGTAAACTTGTTCACTGGGTAAACTTAACTTGTTGTTCACTGGGTATGCTTGTTCACATCACTAAAAACATGTATTCTGATCCTTTTTCAGAAAAACAAAATCAGTCTTGAAGCAGTGATCCCAAACATATTCTCACCCTTCTCAATTCTCCCTTAAAAATATCATGGTTGGTCCCATAGAAGATTGAAAACATGTTCAGCATTGAAAAATTCTTGCTCAATGAATTTTCCAATAGAGAACTAGTTGTGTAAAACTGTATTATTTGATGCTTTTGCATTTGATAAACAACGAGATCATATTCCATTGTAATTATCACTCAAGGTTCTTGTGCATTAAGATCACCTCATTTATTTAGAAAAAAAGAAAACGTTTCCTGTTGATTCATTTTTTTGTATAGTTTAGTACTTTGATGGACATGTCTGATTGTCTTATACATAGTGGGGCGGCAATGAACATCACTTATAAATACAAACTTAAATACATCTTTCAATATCCAAAGTACCTCATCTCCATTCTCTATTTATGAATATCCAGGACCCATTCACAACCAAATCAAACTCCACTGTTCTATCATCATTGAAACAAGCAACAGTATCACTACCGGTCAACCTGCCCTCTTGTTTTCCGTCTCACGTACACCTAGAAACACCTTGTGGTTACAGGAGCTCACTGCCCCAATCTCGCTTCTCATAGAAACAACTTTTATGCCTCAGTCACATTTGCTCAACGGCTAGGATATGGCAGCCGTAGCCCCCGAAATCGGGAGATACCTGTTGGGGCCACAGAGGATCTGCGGTGGTCTCACGGTCGCCCTAGGGCGTATGCCTATCTTTTACAGGCCGTAAGGGTCGCCATGGGATTATAGCGTGGAGTTATAACTTTTTAGTTTCTAGGTTTGCCGTAGCAATCAGACATGCCATTGCCATGCTGTAGAGTGGTTCCACGGCGACCATATGAAGGACGAAGGTGGCCTTGCGTTTGCCTGCGGCCACCTTGCAGCAACCATGCGGCTACCTTGCGTCTGCCTTGGTATTCGTCCAAAACTTATGGCCTCCGCAGGGACGCACTGAGGCAGCTGTGCATCATCACTTTAAAGGCCGTACGGCAGCCGCAGGTTTTCTGTCTCCACAAATTGAACCCTAACATATGTGACTGCTACAGTATGTGACCGTGGGAATGCTGCGGTGGCCCTATAATTGCTTTTGGCCGTAGATATTTTAGACCCCACGGCCGTCGCGGCAAATGTGACTTAGGCATTATGCAAAACTAGTTATGACGGTCTTTGGTCCGGCTACATATACTAATCAAAGAAGTTAAAGAACACCCAATTCTTTCATAGCACTATAGTAAATGAACTATATTCATATGAAATAATCAGGTGTTCGTTAACTTCTTTTGATTAACTATAGTGATTTGAAATAATCAGGTCTTCTTTAACTTTTTTGGAGTAGTATCTATCAAGGAATCACTTGTAGATCTTTGCTAAACTTGCGTTTAGAAGAGGCATATTGGTTGGTTACTCAAGTTTGTGAGAGAAATCTGTGTTTGTAATTGGGGAGATGGAGGTTTGATGTCGCATACAAACGTGATGAATGGGTACATGGTATATGTTACAATAACATGGAGATACGATACACTGGATAATTGAGGCGGATTAATAATGACCATTTCTACAGAAGATCCGGGGTAGAATAGGTCTTCAGCAACCCATGCTGTAAAAGGCAACTATTGTTGTCGTAAGAGGCGACTAATGGGATCGGGTGGTATAGCTCGCTGACTTGGTTGATGCATGTCATCGATCCCAATTGCATGGATCGATGCTTATGATGTCAATCACTGGATTGTCTGGTCCAGACTTGATTATTTACAGACCGCCATCATATAGCTGGAATAGCTGGGAGTGCGGCATTAAACAACAAACCAACTAACCAACCATTTCTAGAGATGGCTCTCAGTGGATGTCTGTTTCTTATTTTGTTTTCTCAAGCCAAATATTCTTGACATCACTAGTTCGCAGTTGTTTCCAGTCAGTGATATACAGTCTTAGAGATATATAGGGCAGAAGGTATGATGAATATTTTGCAAGTCACTGGAAATCTATTACAAAAATCAAGAATTAGAAAAGCTGTTTTTGAAAATTGAAAGCTGTAGTGTTGAGCAGTATACACTCGCACAATAATTCTCCTTCCTGATCACATTCATTTCTTAGTCCTTAAGATAGACTGCGATCTATGGTCTGTGTGAAAGGATTGGTACTATGTGCCGCTATTGATGATGATTGATGTGTTGTTGTGTATTTCAGTGTTTCTTTTACCACTGCTGGACATGTGGCTTGTATATTGCAATATATGGATTTGCTGGATGCAACTCCAATGTTATGTAGAAACGCGATGAATGTACCTGTTAGCTGATATTATAAACTGAGGTCAATATTTAACCGAGATCTAAACAGTAATTTCTAAGGCCCCCCCAAAAATTAGTCTTGGTTCTCAGGCACTGCTGCATCATCATAAAGTCTGCCACATGTTTCATTTTTATTTCCTTTCAATGAAAAAAATCCTCATACTTAAAAATAATGCATTCCAATTTAGCATGCAGTTACTTCCCTTTACATGTGCACTGCTTTACTGCGCATCTTGTGTTATGGTCATGGCGGTAATAGGAGTTTGTATGTTTGTTTATGTAGGGAGGCCCTTTCCCAGGTTGATGGCTCACAACTTTTTATTTCATTAAATACTAGTTTGAAAAAGCAAAAAAAGACCCCCCCAAACTAAACATGTACTCTTTATTTTCATGAGTCATTGCCTGAGAACCAATTCTTTTATTTTTTTAAGCCGAATGTATAATTCATACCTTTCATTTTTACTTGTAATTTTATTTATTTTAGTTTTTTTAAATATTTTTTAGTTAGAGCAATACGAATGGGATGATGTCACGAAATTGCTTTTTCCTTTGATGTGGTACACAGAATGAAATTCTGTGTTACCATGGTTACCAGCCCTTGTTATGTACTGCAATGTGGAAAATAGACCGACATGTGGAAATTACACTTGAGAGATAGGAAAAGAGATTGTTAAGCTTTGACCAACATCCAACTTGTGCAGATGCTTACATTGCACAGATTTTGATGGTGCTATCAAAAACTGTCACAACCATGATAAAGTAATGCTGTGACGTCTTAATCATGTATATGTAAGTATTAGATACTTAATGGAACATACAGGTTATTCCATGTGGAGCATCTTCCTGAGGCAAGGGAGATAACTGACTTTAAAAGTCCAGTTTCCACCCTTGCAGAACTTGACTGGTATTATGGAGTTATGTTTTGGCTGGACTAACGAGTCAATGCATAGTCCAATCAAAATCGTGTAATCGACATCCGGTTCGTAAACTTTCATGCAGAGTTAGGTTGATTTCAGGATTTGCAAGGTATGTGTACCGCCAACTCGGCATCAACACATATTTTCCTAATCTTTTCATGTTTTAATCAAGGTGCACTTGTAGTTTAATGCCTTTCGCGATTTAATACCCATTTTATTACAATATAGATTTTGATTATGGTTCATATCGTCTTCACTGTACGCCGCCATTTTGTTTGAAGCAAATGCAAGTGATATGCGAGGTGGAATCTGATTGGTCAGTAGGAGATGTATAGAAGGGACATAACTTGTAATAACCACTGGTGGTGCTACGATAAAGCCACAAAAATCCAGCCTAGTTCGGCAAGGGTGGAAACTGGACTTTTATAGTCTGTTAACTCCCTTTCCTCACGAAGATGCATGTGGAGATGCTGAAGTGATATGTTGTTACAGACGCTGAGTGTCTAACCATGCAATGACTCATTTTGCTGATAAACGTGTCATTATCAACAACTGGTTTTGATTGATTTTGCCATTATGCACAGGATGAGAGAATCCTAGATGAAATTCATAATGATGCCAAAATAGATTTTTTGAAATGGTATGCCAAAAATATGCTGAAACCATCAATTGCTCAAACTTCATAATATCTGCATTTTCTACTTACAGAGTTTCATTTCATGGGACGCCATAA